CATGCAAAAAAATGAGACTAGACCATCGACTTACACCATACACAAAAATAAACTCAAAATGGATAAAGGACGTAAATGTAAGACAGGAAACCATAAATATTAGAGGAATACACAGGCAGCAAAATCTTAGACATATGCTGAAGTAATATCTTCACCTATACAGCTCCTAGGGCAATGGGAACTAAAGAGAAAATAAACAAATGGGACTACATCAAAATTAAAAGCTTCTGCACAGCAAAAGAAACCATCAACAAAACAACAAGAAAGCCCACTGCATGGGAGAACATATTTGCCAATGTTATCACCGATAAGGATTTAATCTCCAACATTTATAGGGAACTCATAGAAGTTAACAAAAGGAAGATAAACAATCCAATAAAAAAATGGACAAAGGACCTAAATAGACACTTTTCAAAAGAGGACCTTCAGAAAGCCAAGAGACATATGAAAACATGCTCAAAGTCCTAATCATCTGAGAAATGCAAATCAAAACAACAATGAGGTACCATCTCACACCTGTCAGAATGGCTATCAACAAATCAACAAACGACAGGTGCTGGAGAGGATGTGGAGTAAAAGGAACCCTTGTGCACTGTTGGTGGGAATGCAGACTGGTGCAGCCACTATGGAAGACAGTATGGAGTTTCCTCAAAAAACTAAAAATGGAACTCCCATTTGACCCCGTGATCCCACTTCTAGGAATATATCCCAAGGAAACAGAAACACCAATCAGAAAGGATATATGCACCCCTATGTTCATAGCAGCACAATTCACCATAGCGAAGATCTGGAAATAGCCTAAGTGCCCATCAGTAGATGAATGGATTAGAAAACTGGTACATCTGCACGATGGAATACTATGCTACTGTAAGAAAGAGGGAATTCTTACCATTTGCAACAGCATGGATGGAACTGGAGAGCATTATGCTAAGTGAAATAAGCCAGTCAATGAAGGAAAAATACCACATGATCTCACTCATTTATGATCTCCATATCCTTGCAGATATTTATTATATGACTTTTTAAAATATATATATATTTTAAAATATATTTTATTGATTTTTTACAGAGAGGAAGGGAGAGAGATAGAGAGTCAGAAACATTGATGAGAGAGAAACATCGATCAGCTGCCTTCTGCATACTCCCTACTGGAGATGTGCCCACAACCAAGGTACATGCCCTTGACCGGAATCGAACCTGGGACCTTTCAGTCTGCAGTCTGATGCTCTATCCACTGAGCCAAATCGGTTATGACTTTTTAAAATATTTTTGATATTTTCATTTATGTCAGAGAGGATGGGAGAGGGAGAGAGAATTAGAAACATCGATGAGAGAGAATCATTGATTGGCTGCCTCCTGCACACCCCCTACTGGGGTTCGAGTCGGCAACCTAGGCATGTGCCCTTGATGAGAATCAAACCTGGGACCCTTCAGTCCGCAGGCTGACGCTCTATCCACTGAGCCAAACTGGCTAGGGCTATTATATGACTTTTTAATTTTAGCCATCCATTGTAATTTTGATTTGCATTTCCCTAATGACTGAGATGTTGAGCATCTTTTTATATGCTTATTGGCCATTTGCACATCTTTCATAAAGAAATGTCTATTTCAATCTTGTGCCCATTTTAAAATTTGGTTGTCTTTTTATTATTAAACTTTGAGAGTTCTTGATAAGTCCCATATCAGATATATGACTTGCAAATATATTTTCCCCTTAGGTGGATTGTATTTTAACTTTCTTGATGGTGAGCCCATTGAGGCACAAAAGTTTTACATTTTAATGAAGTCCAATTTATCTATTATTTTTCCTTCTTGTGCTTTGGTGTCATAGCTAAGAATTCCTTGCCCAACTCAAGGTCATGAAAAATTAATGCCTATGTTTCTTTTCTAAGAGCTTTAAATTTTATTACTTACATTTGGGTCTTTGGTTCATTTTTAGTTAATTTTTCTATATGGTGTGAGGTAGATTCCAATTCTTTTTGCAGTAGAGATAAAGTTCATTATCTTCTAAATATACACATCAGTAAGACCTTTCATGTTCACCTCATTTAATATTTTAATCAATATGTGATTTTCTGCCACTTCATTAGTTTCACCTTTGACTCCCTGCTAATGAGTATTTTGTGGGTCTTAAATGGAATTTCTTTACCAAAGCCATATTCACCTTTGCACTTATCATAAAATGTCAGAATTAGGAGGAAGTTTATTGATCATATATAGGCCACCCTCTTATCTAAGTAGAGCCCTCAGCATCTGAGACAGAAGGGCTTTCACCTTCTTCCTGGACGGTGAGATCATTAGTTCTAGATGGTGAGCAGTTATTAGGTTCAGCAATTCCTCTGGCCAACTCTAGAAGCACTTAGTATACGTAAGGATACATTTATATGTGCTATCAAATGAACAGGCCCCTGTAACTGCGTGGCTCAGGGTCTGTGACTAACTTATTCTCGTATAAAGGCAGTCATAATCCATTTGACCAGTTTAGTTGAAAAATAGCAAATTTTAATTTCTTGGCAATAACATAGTCACATAAGCATTGGTAATAGTCTTCATTTTTATTTGATTGAAGTCTGTGGAGCAAATAATATTCTAGTCTCTATAGCAATTGTGACTTAAATGAATAATATTAACAGATTAATAAAATTAGGATACTGGGTAATAAAATGTAAACATAAGTAGAAAGTTAAGTTTTTTATGGCTTAGATTTTGACATTGAAAAACATCTATGGTCATTTAGTAAAAAGTAAACATGGTATTAAGTTTAGAATAATGAGTGTCAGGTGAATCTGCAAAACTAATAGTTATATTAACTATTCATAGTTTATTTTTTTTAATTAAATCTTTATTGTTCAGATTATTACATTTGTTCCTCTTTTTCCCCCCCCATAACTCCCCTCCTCCCAGTTCCCGCCCCACCCTCCGCCCTCACTCCCCACCCACTGTCCTCATCCATAGGTGCACGATTTTTGTCCAGTCTCTTCCCGCATCTCCCACACCCCTTTCCCCCCCAAGAATAGTCAGTCCATTCCCTTTCTATGTCCCTGATTCTATTATAATCACCAGTTCATTCTGTTCATCAGATTATTTATTCACTTGATTCTTAGATTCACTTGTTGATAGATGCATATTTGTTGTTCATAATTTGTATCTTTACCTTTTTCTTCCTCTTCCTCTTCTTAAAGGATACCTTTCAGCATTTCATATAATCCTGGTTTGGTGGTGATGAACTCCTTTAGCTTTTCCTTATCTGTGAAGCTCTTTATCTGACCTTCAATTCTGAATGATAGCTTTGCTGGATAAAGTAATCTTGGTTGTAGGTTCTTGGTATTCATCCCTTTGAATATTTCTTGCCACTCCCTTCTGGCCTGCAAAGTTTCTGTTGAGAAATCAGCTGACAGTCGTATGGATACTCCCTTGTAGGTAACTGAGTTTCTTTCTCTTGCTGTTTTTAAGATTCTCTCTTTATCTTTTGCTCTTGGCATTTTAATTATGATGTGTCTTGGTGTGGTCCTCTTTGGATTCCTTTTGTTTGGGGTTCTCTGCGCTTCCTGGACCTGTAAGTCTATTTCTTTCACCAGGTGGGGGAAATTTTCTGTCATTATTTCTTCAAATAGGTTTTCAATATCTTGCTCTCTGTCATCTTCTGGCACCCCTATAATTCTGATGTTGGTATGCTTGAAGCTGTCCCAGAGGCTCCTTACACTATCCTCGCATTTTTGGATTCTTTTTTCATTTTGCTTTTCTGTTTGGGTGTTTTTTGCTTCCTCGCATTTCAAATCATTGACTTGATTCTTGCGCTCCTCTGGTCTGCTGTCGGGAGTCTGTATAATATTCGTTATTTCAGTCCGTGTATGCTTAATTTCTAGTTGGTTCCCCAATATAAGATCGAGGGTCTCATTAGTTTTCTTGTAGATCTCATTAAGTTTATCGGCGGCTTCTAAACAGTTCTTGAGAGACCTTAAAAGTGTGGTTCTGAACTCTATATCTTCCATTGACAATTTTGTCCTGTTTCTTTGTCTCCGCATTTTGGTATGCTTCCTTGGTGCACCTCCTAGTGGTCTTTGTGCGCAGTCTTGTAGTTAAACCTTGATTGTTGTAGCTAATACCAGGGAGGGTTTGACCTCCAGGCCAAGTGGCTATGAGAATCAGCTGTGTCTGCAGTGAGAGAACTTCTGTCCTCTAGGGAGGTGCTAATCTAGCCTTTGCCTGAGGCTATCCGGCAAATGCCTCTGTGCAGGGCTTGGGCGGGGCGGGTCGCACAGGATCAACAGGGTGGGCCGGAGAGAGCAGTTATGGTGGCTCTCAGTCCCGTCCCGAGGGGCTCTGCCTCTCCGAGTCCCAGCACCCGCTGCAAACCTTGGAGAGAAAGCTGCACTCGCTCTGACCGAAGCCAGACAGTCCCGCTTCTCCCGTTTGAGTCTGGGTCCCTAAAGACTCGCCTGTATCAGGAGCTCAGAGTCTGCGACTCCCTCCCGATTGAAAACGCCAACCGCGCCCTCCGCCGCCAGCCCGCTCCTCGAGCTCTGCACCTCAGAATTTGACTTCAGCACTGCGCCTCCTCTGAGTGTCCGTATGCGTTTCTCTTTCCTCCTAGTTGTAGGACTTCCACTCAGCCAGCGTTCCTGTGGTTCTGGGTGATGTCCGTTCCGTCTTTTAGTTTCACTTTTGAAGTAGTTGTTCAAGGCAGCAAACTCCAGCGTTAACCTATGCCGCCATCTTTCGATGTTTCTAACTATTCATAGTTTAAAGAAGAGATCGTACCGATTCATTGAAAGAAAGAAGCAAGTGTGCAAGCCAGAAGGGAGCTTATCATATCTTGACCCTTGCTCAAATTCGGGGCATCAGAGTACGTTATAGCTGTCAGATCTAGTTTAACATTGAGAAAGAGCTTATCTTTTATTTGAAAAAATATTATTATTAAAAACATGTTTCCTGTGAGATTTCTAAATTATTAAAGGCACATTTAGGAATAATTTATTTTAGGGACATTTATTTTGGCACCCTTTGTTAAATTTACTTCTCCTTTAGTATTTTGAGAGCTTAGAGGTGATTCATGTTATATTACTTGGAGGAAGGCTAGCTTGCATTCTTGCTTGTTTTTGTCCCCCTGTTATGAAAGGAAATTAGAATATTGTGGAAAATAGGGAAAATATTTAAAAATAAAAGGAAGAAAAAAAGCACAGAGCAAGTAAAATAAGCAAGTAACTAACCATATCTTCTCCTGTCTCTACACAAAAGCTATTAATATTTTGGTGGACTTCTGAAGTTACAGTCTGGATTCCTAATTTATTCAGAATTTTTTTGGTGTTTTTTCCAAAGCAAATAATTACTCTTCATTGGATCTGGAGTTAAAAACAAACAACAAACAAAAACAAAGATCAAACAGAAACTCTCAGTGAATCTCCTTCAAGAAAGAAATTCTTCATTTTGTCACTGAGGAAGTTCTGTCAGCCAGCCAGCTGGTAATGTCACCCTTTGAGTAGTTTATAACCTCCTATGTGCTGCCTCTTGGTGGTGAATAGACTGAGCCTTGCTCTGCATGTTATAAAGGCATGATGGACCCTGACCTATGAAATACATTTTTTCTCTTTATGAATATGAATAGGTTTTTCCTTTATTTGAGGGGGAGTGGAGACAAAAAGTTCATTAAACTGCAAAAAATTATATGTCATTGTTGTTAACTGAACCTAACTAATGGCCACCCTTGTGAAATGTTAGTAATAATTATATTAGTAGAGATACACTTAAAAAAATTTGATCTAACCCTTTTTAATTCTCGGTCTGGTACCTGACCTTTTTTCTCTTCTCCTACCTGTTAGTGTCATCTTCCTCCCTTTCTCTGTTACTCCCTCAGTTTACATTGCTGCAAAACCCTTTTTCCCCCAATGTAATCTCCTCTTTCTATCCAGCTTATTTTCATTTTTAAGATATCTTTTTATACCAGTGATTATTTCCTGTACACCCCCCTCAACCACACATGCACCCATTTTGTTTGGACTACACAGTGTTGTTATTATCTGTTGAATTTGAATGCTTTAATGATAGCATGTATTCTCTTCAGTAAGATATAGGCCCCACTTCTTCCTATTGGCTTTAACTTCTTATTTACACACTTTTGCTACTTACTGGTAGGCTCTGGCAGGGATTAACTCCAAATTCTAAAACTAATAAAATCTAAAACTTTAACACTTCTACAAAAAAAAAAAAAAAGCATAGTATAAAATTTTGTGACTATGAGTCTAAAGATTTCTTAGAACACAGAGGACATGATCCTTGGAAAAGAAAAAACATAACTTGGGCTTCCAACAAAGTTAAGAACTTCCAACCTTCAAAAGACACTGTTAAGAGTATGAAAAAACAACTGTCAGAGAAATGTAAATCCAAACCAAAATGAGATACCACTTCACACCCTCTGGGTTGGCTAGAATTTAAAAAGTCAGATAAAAACAAGTGTTGACAAGAATGTGGAGAAATCAGAAGCTGCTGATGGGAATGTAAAATGTTGCAGCCACTCTGGAAAGCATTCTGGCAGTTTCATGAATATCTCTCATACTCCTTCAAGTCTTTGCTCAAATCTCACCTTGAGTAAAGGATGTGTACTTATATCATCCTATTTAGTGTCACAAGTTTCCCCCTCCCTTCCCCTTAACATTTCTCTTCCCTGCTACATGTTATCTTCTAACCACCCCCAGTGCATACCACCTTCTAACATACTATATAATTTACTTATTTTATTGTTTACCTCTCCCCACTGAAATGTAAATTCTATGAGGGCAGGGTCGAGTAGTGCCTAGCTTAAAGTAGCCTCTCATTAATTATTTGTTGCATGAATGAATGAAAACTGGGACTGACTCCAAATTCTCTTGCCCTTAATCACAATGATATACAGCCTCTCAAACATGTATTTTTGAGTTTTCGTGATGACTTTGTTTTTATAATGATGATTCAATAACTATACTACTTCACCTAGTTGTACTATATTTAAATTATTGATATTTAGTTTATTTCTGAAAGATAGAGCTACTCATTCAGCAAACATTTAGAAGCCTTTAGTATCAGGCTTTGTGTGACAGCTTCATAAAGATAAAGAAAATATGGGTCTTGTCCTCAGGGAAATCTCAGACTATAATGGCAGTAGATATGTCAACAAGTATTGTAATGGTATCTGATAAGGGCACATATTAGAGGCATTTTGAAGTTACAAAGAGAGTACACCAGTTGTAGTACCCAACTCTGTGGGAGCTAGAGGTTGGATCCTGATTTGGGGGTGGTGTAGAAATGGGAGGAAGGGCACCTGATTAAGAAGATGCTATAACCGAAACCGGTTTGGTTCAGTGGATAGAGCGTCGGCCTGCGGACTGAAAGGTCCCAGGTTCGATTCCGGTCAAGGGCATGTACCTGGGTTGCGGGCATATCCCCAGTAGGAGATGTGCAGGAGGCAGCTGATCGATGTTTCTCTCTCATCGATGTTTCTAACTCTCCCTCTCTCTCCCTTCTTCTCTGTAAAAAATCTTAAAAAAATTTTAATAAAATATATTAAAAAAAAACACACAACAAAACTCATTTAAAAAAAAAAAAAAAGAAGATGCTATAATGAAAATGTACACTGAGTTATGGTTTTGGCCAGGTATTAAAATAGATTGGAAGTAGGCTAAATATTGTAAAGGATAAAAAGGTTGAAGTAAAACTTTAATTAATAACAATATAATGTTCTCTCATAATTTATAGGCTAACACATTGTAATTGGAGGATAAATCTTGCTTTTAAAGAAAGATCTGAAAGAAGTAATATATTTAAATTGCATTTACCTTAAAATATGTAGTACTCATACCCTTAGGAGAGGGTAAGATTGAGTTTTTAGAATTACTTTAAACTATAAACAGTGGGTGTTATAAATTAATAGTTGTAAAGTGAACACATGTTCCAGGCACTCTCTTAACATTTTGCATATGTTAATACAGAATGATATATTTTACCTTAATTATATGTATGGTCAAGCCATGATCATCTGTAGGTAGATTATTTGCATTTGGGGTATTCATTCATTTCAAACGACATCTTCATTGACTGCCCTTCCATCTTCTCATCAATATCCTTCTCCCATTTGTTTTTACTGTATCTGACCAGCTTTAAAAAATCATTTATTATTTATTATTATACTTATTATTTATCATCTTTTTAAATTTTTTATATTTCAGTTACAGTTTGCACTCAACATTATTTTGTATTAGTTTTAGGTTTACTTTATCATGTATTTTTAAAGATGTTAAATAGATTATGTCTTTCTACTACATTTGCTGATACTTGATAGGTCATAATGAGAGAACAAGTGTCATGTAAGCCTGAGAAAAGTATACAGACTCATTTTTCTTAGTCTTATTTCTTAATTTCCTGCTTAATATTTCATTTATCCAAGGTTTTTCTCCAATTACAATTTAATCATTTATATAAGTACAATTGGAAGTCATTTTTCCCAGTCCTACTTAATATCACAGACTCCTTCCCCTGCTCTTCAGGAATACAATTCTTAGAAGCCATAGGGTTTTTAAGTATTTGAAGACTTAGAATTAGAGGAAAATTATGGGACAGAATCCATTTATGGGAGCTGATTTCAGACAAGGCAGATGATGGACTTTACACAAATATATCTTCACCAACATTGTCTGATGATTTTTTAATTTCACTTTGTTATGTTGCCTGAAGTTCTATTAAGCATTAATTTGGATAGATAAATACCTGCTTTTTAGATACCTCTGGTTAGGTTAAGAGTTTATAATAATTTTTATAAATTGTTCTAGTCAGATTGCCTCTCCACCTCTAGTTGTCATATTCAGTAGTTTTGATTTAAACAAAAGAAATGATCAACTTGTTTACCAGTAAGAGCTGGAAAAGGATCATTGTTTTAAATATATATTTTAAAAATTGATTTTAGAGAAAGAGGAAGGGAGAGTGAGAGAAAGAGATATATAAACATTGAGGAGAGAGAAACGTTGTTAGGCTGCCTATTGGGGTTTGAGCTCACAACCCAGGCAGGGAATCGAACTAGCGACCTCTTGGTGCATGGGACAGCACTCAGCCAACTGAGCCACACTGGCCAGGCAGGATCATTGTGTTAATAATTAAATTCGCCCTAACTGGTTTGGCTCAGTGGATAGAGCATCGGCCTGCGGACTGAAGGGGTCCAGGTTCAGTTCCGGTCAAGGGCATGTACCTTGGTTGCGGGCACATCCCCAGTAGGAGGTGTGCTAGAGGCAGCTGATCGATGTTTCTCTCTCATCGGTGTTTCTAACTCTCTAACCCTTCCTCTCTGCAAAAAATCAGTAAAAATATATATACTTAAAAAAAATAATTAAATTCTCTTGGTATTTATGTTGTGACATTTTAGTGAGTGAATCTTTATTGTGACTAACACTATAGAATTTTTAGCTAATCAGGGATATTTATTTTGGGAAAGCAGAAAAACCTGTTTCTTACACTTTACTTTTGCAATAATATGGCCCTGGGTATATGTTTCATATTTTTGGCTTTTGTCCAGCTTGTCTCAGGTGGCTTATTCTTTACTCTTATTGAGGCCCATTGTTCTTAATCTAGCTTTTGTTTTCACATCGCTACTTCCCACTAGTTTATAGTCTATATGCAAATTAACTGTAATAACATGCATTATTTTAGTCATTCTATCTCAAGCAAAGTTAGTTTGCATTTTCCTTTCACTTCGTTCAGTACTTCCTTTAAAATGGTCAAGTCCAGAGTTCACACATATTTAGACTTGGATATATAGGACTTTGCAAATCTCCTCAGTGCTGGTAGGTAAAGGAGAGACTGAAATACCTCTTGGAGGTGGAAAAGTAAGAAAAAGAGAATGCATTTGTAAATATTTTAAATAAAAAATATATTTTAAAAGGGGTTGAATGATTGCTATGTAGCCAAATTCTTGTGGGGATTTTTTTATATATCAGGTTTCTTGATAGCCTCATCTCAGCATGTTAAAGCCTCATAATAATAATAAAAAAAATTATTCTACAGCCTCCTGAATGTTATGGTGCCAGACTACCTAGAGTGGCCATGATGGATTACTCAGTTGAAAACTATCTTTGCTAATTTTTTGTTTCTAGGCTAGGGAGATGGGAACAACCCTTTTACCAAAAACCAACCAACCAAACAAAAAACTGACGAAAACCCATTTCCCTTCCTTGAAAGCCCACAAATATCAGCATTGGAAGGTAGTCATGGATACGAAAGATCACCCAGGTAGAATGTCTAGAGAGAGAACAGATGATTTAGGTGAAAGATCTTCGGAACATACATCTAAAATGAGAATTCTCTTAATAAGACTTTCAGAAGAAATGACTAAAATCATTGGACCAAAAATTTAGGAGAGTGTAAGCTAACAATTCTGAAAACATTATGCATATATACTAGTGTGAAATAGATGGATAGTGAATTGTGCGATCCAGGTTTCTCA